ATAGTGGTCTATCATACATGTGCACGTCAATTTATTTTCCGATTCGATCAAATATAGCCGACTGGCAGCCATTTTGATTGTTAATCATGGCTTTTGTCTGTTCATTGATATTTCTCAGAGATGCCCTGACTGATTTCAATGATACTAGCTACAAAGACACAGTGAGGAGTGATACATATTCACATGGATTTATTTCCTGATTTAATAAAATATGGCTGCCTGGCGGCGGTCATTTTAAATGTCAAAATCCTGTAAAATCCAAAGACAATCCAAATGCACATTGATTTATTTTTAAAGGAATCAATTAATGAGCTTATTTGCATATTAAATTATTAATTTTGCATTTTTCTTAATATTTTGTGAACTAATTGTCTGAATGAGACAAAACTTGTATCTGTCAATACAAGATATGTGCTATGCAATATTGACTTTCAACTTAATTAATGAGCTAACTTTAATAGTTAATTAATTTTGAATTTTTGTGGTGAACTAATCGTCCATGTATTTGCTATTTAATATCGAATTTCCATATTCAATTGATTGTGAATTTTTGATAACATTGATGCAAATTTTAACAAAAGTTAATAGAAATGTCCTAGCTGTTAACTTTGAGTAACATACTTTTGATTTCAACTTAATCTTCCTACCCGATTTTATACATATACATTTAATCTTTATAATTCACAGCCAACTATAATCACATCTGACAAGTTGGTGCTGTGTCATCTTCAGATGACGTGTTCTATTTGCGGATGTTGAATAATTAATGGTGAAATAACATTAAATAACATTATAGTTAGAATTTAACAGGGGAAATGCAGTTCGATTCGTCTTACATATGGGTTTAATTAATATTTACAACAACTCAAAATTATCACATATTTCTGATTTAAATATTGCATTTCTCGAAAAATTAATGAGTTAAACATTACATACATACTTACTTACTTTTGAATATTAATTTTTCTCTGTTAATTTAGATTATTGTTGGTTGTCCTCATCCTCTGTGGTTAGATAAATCTACTTTAAAAATATCACACTGTCCTGTTTAGGAAGTGATTTGATAAGTGGTGAAAATAAACAATCAAAACATTGGGCCAATGGAAAGGTGAATAATATGAAATCAATGTAGCGCATTGGTGTGGATCCGTTGATTGAGGGGTAGGGTTGGGATTTAAAAATAAACATATTGAGCACGTTCATTTAGATTGAAGAAGAAAGAGTTTAACTTGAAGATGTTAAGGTTTGTTTCAGTGTACTATTTATCTTTTTTGAAGTGCCCATTTTGACAATTATAGGCTGTTGTCTCTACAGTTTCATGAAAGGTTTGAATTTCTGTAAACATACTTATTTAAACACACATAAGTCGATGCGATTGTTATTATTCTTTAAAAAAAAACTATATACGTGAATATGTATTATATCAAACGCATCATTTGATATAATTTGCTCATAAATACTTTCCAAAATGCAGACCTCGCGTATTTAGACTGTGCGTGCTGTGATAATAAACACTTTTCAGTACGAATTATGTGTCTAGTAAAATCACTTTTAAAAGTGTTGTGATAATGAACACTTTTCAATACGTGTTTTCTGGGAATTCACTTTACATGTTTAAAAACACTGACTACGAGTGTTTTTTTATTATATACACCTTTCATGATTATACGGATTATATATGATTCATTTGCGATTTTAAGGAAAAAAGTTATGTATTTATTGATTTAAAGTGGGGACAAAATGTGTCAAATTTTAATACAACTTAGATTTGCAGTTTCTAAGTACGGCATCAGAAATAAATCGGTAATTAACTGTTAGGAATAATGTCTATTTACAATTTTGGTATGGCGCTAGCATTCTTGATGCGTGGAAAAGTAATTATTCTTATCTTATTAATAATTACTTTCTCGGGGCCTACGATACAGAAAATCCCAGTTATGAATTCACATATGTGCACCGAGGGAAGGAACAGTACATGGGACCGACGCTGAACTTTAGATTTTCCTTATGAATGAACGCCATTTCTCCAATCTACCTGATGCCGGCCATACGCCATTGAACCTTAGCACCACACCGGGATTCTAAGTCATACCCTGGCGCCCCCGGATCAAGGCAATTCTACGGGAACATATTTGTTGACGATTCCAAGCTTTAATTAGATAATTTTAGGTGATTGGAAGATATCGAAGGAGTCATCGTTGGTATTCAGTGCAAGTCGCGCCCAGGACAAACCTCATACTTGTGATTTTCATTTGAAGAGCACATTAGATTGTGGGAAAATCTATGTTTATCAACACAAATGTCGCACATGCGCAGCGCGACGACTACCGCGCTTTAAATATATATGTCGCTGTCACGTGATATATTTAATATTAGTTATTATTAAACTTTTTACTGAGGTTCTCTGCGAGGGGAAGCCTTCGTGATATTTGTCCATATCGAATTACCGTGAACAGTTCTATCGGTTCTATCAGAATAATCTGTTACGAAAAGAGATATTTCTAAAATGACTACGTTTATCCAACTTCGTCAACGAATTCCCCCTCCCCCGCTTCAGGTCGAGGTCAAATATTTCGCATATTTTGTATCTCGATTAGAGCAAAAAACAAACATCTAAACAATAGCGTTTATAAATGTACTATGGACTACAACCTCTAGTTAACGCCTTGACTCTGAGTGGCATTTCGCAATAGGCTGCCATTTTGCCTTATTCTATTTGTTATCTTGTGTTTTTTCGTTGAACTGTTAATATCGTTCATTTTGTCACGATTACTCAAAATAGAAATGGCGTAATCATAGAACGCAGTACAGTCACAAAATAGTTCAAACGACGTGACTGTGATTTTCGGTGGTTCGTGAAACCTAACAAGATTATTGTTTGAACAAGTCCCTTGCAACAGTTATAAATACACCTGTCACTCATTCTGTTTATTCTGTTGTCACTTGAACATTCTCATGATTAATTTAATGCTCAGTGACTTCATTTGAAACAGACGCTTTACAGAGTGGATTCTGCATATGTGGATTAGCGGTTATCGCGCATTTTTGCTATTGGGAATAAAAATTTTGACTGTGCATTTGATTCAACAAAGTCTCTATGATAATCCATTTCTTGGTTGAAGTGTGACAGCTGCTATAGTCTTTTGGTTAAAAATGACAAATTCCTCTAAATGTTATCACAGTACACGAATAACCCTCACTCAAGTTATTGAACAGCTCAGAGCGACGTCTCTCCAAATTTGTCTAGTCATATAGTTTTAGAAACTCGAATAAAACTCGTGTTTCGGTCTATGAAACAATGTACATACAGAAAATGTTATCCAACATTATTTTCTATTTCTATTGTATATGTTTTATTCTGTTTAAATATTTGTACTATGTTTCCATTCATTCGTGCACTCTATTTAAAGCACTCTTGTTTGCATGGAATGGTGGGCATTTAATTTTTATTGAAAAATGATTATTATTATATATTTTTGTGATAGTATACGAAATGCTGTGCCACGCATATGTTTAGCTGATTCGCCCAATCGCCAGACACATTCATATTTTTTCCGGGAACAATTCATCTACTAGTAGATATATTACAATTGTGGGAACGAGTAGTGTTGACAAACGTATTCTATTTACAGTTTCGTGTTACAGGTGTCATTGACAACCACCACCACTCCACCCAACCACCCCGACATCCCTAGCAAATGGGTAGTCTCCCCAAGATAACCCTGATGTAGAACATCGATTTCCCCCTTCTTAAAATCACTGCAGATACATGCAATGAAACAGTGGCGAATCTAGCAAAATGCATTGGGAGGGTCCGAGCTACGCTTAAGATATAAGGAGCGTAAATCGCAGAGAAGCTATGCGTAATCCAGATGATACGAATCGTCAT